TGACAGATGACTTTCCCAATGCAACTCCTCTTTTGATTTCCTGACAGCTATTGTCAAAAGTATTGATTGTGGAGCAAGATGAAATTTTTAACAACTTCAGTCTCTTCTCCATCTGGCTTCTGCTCATAACATGTCCAAAGCATGAGAGACAAAGTCTTGCCATGGTTGTTTCCAAAGAGCATTCTGGCTGTTCCTTTCCCTAGACAAATTTTGTTCATTTCCCTGGAAGTTGTATTCATTGTGTTCAAAATCTTTATCCATAGCATAATTAAAAATTATCAATTTTCCTTTGGTTTTCCTTACTCAATTGTCTGATTTTCAAATATATATGAGATAATTGAAAATAAAATAAAAAAAAGACTTAAGAGTCTAGGAAACTCGAAGAAAGGTCGACATGAGTTGAAATTTACTCGATAGCAGTCGTCTGTTTGCATTTTGTTTGTTTATTGGATAATCAAAGAGTAAATGAAAGGAAAGGTTTACGTGGAGAAGAACTCCTACCGTTAGTGAGAAAGCAATTATAATATTAGACTCCTACCATTTTTGCTAATGCTGATAAATTAATGGATTTAGATGAAGATTATCAGTGGATTCAAACACCACCAAAAAAGTAGATAACACATATTCTATTACATCCCTGAGAAAAGGAACAGAACTTTCTACAAAACAGTTATTGAAAAAAAGTTTCTAGAGCAAACTCCTAGTTTACAGGAAATACAATACTCTTGTTTCTCTTCAGCTCATATAAATCTTTCGCCTTTTCCAGGAAACACAAGGGATAGAGAAACACATTAACCAATATCACTGAGATGCAGACATAAAAAGTTCAGAAGGTGGTTGTTGTTGTTGTGTATCATTGAGTAGCAACCAAACCACAGCTGACCCTCTGGCGGGTTTTCAGAGGCAGGTAATTGCACAGGAGGAGACTGCCCATTCTTCTGTGGAATAGCTGGTGGCCCTGAACCGCGTGTCTTTGGGATTGCAGTGCAGCTTCCTGCCACTAGGAAACCAGAGCTCCCTTCAACAGGTTTGTTGTCATTATATGCTGCTGAGTCACCTGCGACTCATAGCAATCCTATGTACAACAGCCCTAAATCCTGTTCCAATTTCATTGTCTCCCAAATACCTACTCCCATTACCCCAGTCACTGAATCAATCTATCTCATCAAGGGTCTTCCTTTCTTCCCTCCCAAGCATGATGTTCCTCTCCAGGGACTGGTCCTTCCTTGCAACATGTCCAAAAGTATGTCAGAGCATCAG